TTTTTTTGCCCCCCCCAGTTTCCCCAAATTAAAAAAAAAAAAAAAAAAAAAAAAAAAAACCCAGTCATACTCACTAAGATAGTCACAGCAATAATTGACAAAACAGTCTCCTAAAATAAATCATGTCTAGTGCAATGGCATCAGCCACATTTTGTCTGGGAAGCGATCTCCTAGGAACCCAGACCTTGGGTATTGGTGGTTATCCATGTCCTGACCCTGGCGAATTCACTGGCAATTTTGTGACAGCTTATGGTGTCACAGATAAAAACCTAAGGACCTTGACCCAAGTGCAGGTTGGTCTGAGTTTTTACAAAAATTACCTTCACAGACTCCCTTGCTGTTCTTTCTCCAGCCGTAGCAGCAGGCCAGTTTAGTTCCAAACTGACAGACCCCAGGCTGGCGTGCCAACACCAACAACCCATGATCCCTTGGACTGCGGATGAAGAATCACACATTAGTATTGAGAAAACAGAAAGGGCAAGAGACTTCCCTACTACTAAAGGAACTGAAGAGATGTCAATTACCAGGTTAATTTCAACAAACCTGCCCTAAGTGATAGATTAGATTTTGAAAACCTGAATTTGGGGTCTGCCAGTCTCCACTACCATCCCTTGCTAGCCTTCCCCAATAATTCGTTTCATCCATTTCCTTCTTCCCTAGGGCTAAAAAAATTGGGTTATATCATTTATAAAAGTAGGGCACATAAAAGTGGTCAAAAATATGATTTTGAACCTTGTGGAGCGTCACTTTTCAAATCTGCTCTGTATAAGCACAGTGGCTATCCAATTCTATGTCTGTCTCAGTGCTGAGTGTGGCAGTGTGACTCCCTGGCCCTGTTACTTTGTCCCAGACAGGAACTCTGCACTTTTACCCTATTGGCCGCCTGGGAACCATTGAACAGACTGGCCTCACCACACACTGCAGAAGGTTAAGAGCTGGAAGGGCCCCACAGATCCTTCAGCAAAGCCCTCCCATGTCACATAGGAGGAAACTCCAGCCCAATGGAGTGGAGTCACATCCCCAGCAGAGCCAGGTGTCAGGATTCCAGGCCAGGGCTCGTTCTCATTCCACGTGGCCTCTTGGAAACACAATTAGCTAAATTCTTTCATTGTAGAGCAGGGATCGGCAATGTTTTTTGTACAGGGCCAGATGGTAAATATTTTAGGGTTTGTGGACCATAAGGTCTCTGCCCAGTGCAAAAACTGCCATGGGCAATAGTAAACAGATGGGAGTGACTATGTTCCAATAAAGCTTTATTTATGGACACTGGAATTAGAATTTCATATACTTTTCATGTGTCATGACGTAGTATTCTTCTTTTGATTAATCATCAATTATTTAAAAATGTAAAAACTGTTCTTAGCTCATGGGCGGTGTAAAAAGAAGGATCACCCAGCCTTGGCCCGTGGGCTGTAGCTCATCAACCCTGACCTAGAGGTCTGAGTGAGTCCCCCACCCCCCAAGTGTCCCTGGGTAGTGTGGCCATGGATGAAGGTCGCTGCATGTCTACCTACCTCCTGGTGTTGGACAGGGTTGCTACTAAACTTTGGAAGAAAAGATTTGCATGGTATATTTTGTGAAGGGCTGTGATTGTTTCCTCATGCATATTAAATACACTGTAAAAATGTTTCCTGGGCTCTCTCACAGACAAGGTATGCACATTTTACATGTGCTTTCTGCTGCAGGACTGAATTTTACTCAAGTTAATAACATCTCAGTCAAGGTCGGAAAGTTAAACAACATTGTAGGTTTCCCTTGCTGTCTGTCTCTCCCACAAACTTTGTTACTTAGTTATGTAACGATATGGTCCACTACATTTTATTAACTGAGAACACCAAATGCAAGGATGATTTTATTATTTGGTTTTTCTTGAAGGGAACATTTTCTCATCTTTTAATAGAATTAGTTTTAGGGATCCATAAGTCATTCACTCAACCATTTTTAGAACATGGTTTCTCAACCTCTACATGATGATAGTTTGGGCCAGATCATTCTTTGTTGTTGGGGGCTGTCCCGTGCAGTGTAGAACATTTAGCAGCGTCCCTGCTGCTATCTATAGATGCCAGTTGTGATAATCAAAAATGTCACACACTCCTCCAGTTGTGACAATCGAAAATGTCTCCAAGCACCTCGGGGCCCTGCTCAGGGACCTGGGCTATGGAAGTGGGGACTGGACCCCCCCCACAGCCAGGCACACCACCAGCACCAAGGAGCATGCCAAAAACATCACCTCCATGTGGGCGACCCACCACAGCCACCATAGTAAGCATGGCTGCCGTGAAAGTGGCTAGATGTCACAACCACCACACAGATGGTCCGCCAGCAACTGGAGTGCATTGACACAAGGAGAATCACCAGCAGAAATAAAGAGAAGAGGATGTCTTTTTCCACAAAGCTCATTCCAGAATGACAGAAAAAGTATCTGCTCTATGATAATATTGGGGGAACTGATCACACCTCTCATCATTGAACAGATCATCTAGGCAACAAATCAACAGAGTAACCATTGCTCTTTCAGAAGGAGAGAAGAAATCTAGGGTAATTAGAGGAGGGGGGGAGAGAAAAGGGGATGGGGAGAGACTGGATAAGGGGCATAAAGAATAAGTACAATTTGTAACAATACACATACTAGTAATATTAATTTGATCAACATATGTCAACATTGAATTGCAAAAATCTGTATAATCAATTATGATTCAATAATTTTAAAAATTGTCTCCAGACCTTGCCAAATATCCCCTGGAAAGCAAAACTGACTTCTGTTAAGTACCACTACTTTAAAGTGACACATTATTGAGCACTCGCTATGTTCCAAGCACTGTCTTAGGCACACAGAGTACAGTGATGAAAAAGACCTGGTCTTTGCTGTCTCAAGTTCACAGTCCATTGTAAACAGATGTGTTACAGTACAGGACAGCATGGGAAGTATCATTGTCATGCTCTGAGAAAGCGTTTTGACTGAGGAATAATGCAGCTATATGTCATAATCTAATCTGTAACTACTAACAATTCTACAAGGGATATCACAATCCTGACCCAGTGTGCATATAACTAACAATTCCCAAAGCAGCCATGAACTACCAGACATAAAGTGTGCTGAGTAATTAAATGCTAGTCCAAACACCATGATGTCCTTAAGAATATTTTATTCTAGAATTTTTAGTTGAGATATGATGCACGTAACATAAAATTCACCATTCTAAAGTGTACACTTCATTAGTTTTTAGTATTTTCACTATGTTATGCACTCATCTCTACTATTTAATTCCAGAATATTCCCATTACCCCAAAGAGGAACCCCATAGGTATTAGCAGTTAATCTCAATTCTCCCTTCCCTCCATCCCCTGGCAACAACAAATCTACTTTTTGTCTCTGGATCTGCCTATTTTGGACATTTCATAAAAACAGAATCCTGCCTTTTGTGTCTGGCTTTAACTTAGCATGTTTTCAAGGTTCATACATGTTGCAGTGTGTAACTATACTTCATTCCTTTTTATTACTGAATAATGTTCCGTGGTATGGATAGCCCACATTTTGTTTATCCTTTCATCAGTTGATGGACATTTGGGTTATTTCCACCTTTTGGCCATTATAAATAATGTTGCTATGAGCGTTGGTGCACAAACAAGTTTTTGTGTGCACATATGTTTTCATTTCTCTTGGGTATATACCTTGGAGTGGAATTGCTGGGTCATATGGTGCAATGGGCTGAATGTTTGTCTCCCCCAAAATTCATATATTGAAGCCCTAGTCCTAATGTTATTGTATTTGGAGGTAGTATTTTTCCTCTGCTCTCACACAACAACAATCAACACAGAAAACTTCTGTGATGAAACGTGTGAGTTTTTTTCCCCACATACCAAGCAAATAATTCTGCAGCAAATACTATGGGTGCCCTCTAATTCGATTCAATTCTGACATTATCTACCTAGAGATAGCATTGGATCCCACAGATTGAGGGGTCCATCCCACAAGACTAGGCCCCACTTGCAATGCTGATTGCAACCCCCGGGTTATTTTGCCCATGCTTCTGACTGACCAGCTATAAATCAGGATTCCCACTCCTCCCTCCTTGGGTTTGATTAATTTGCTAGAGTGGCTCACAGAACTCAGAGAAACACTTATTTCCCTTTACTGGTTTATTAAAAGGGTTTTACAAAGGACACAGATGAAGGAATGCATAGGGTGAGGGATGGGGGAAGGAGTACAGAGCTTCTGAGCCCTCCCCGGGTGTGCATCACCCTACAGGAACCGCCATGTGTTTAGCTATCTTGTGTTACTTTGCCTACCACGGATTTGTCACCCCTTTTCCCCTGGGTGATGGAACCACCAAAGATTACTCAAAGCCCATCTCTTTTGAGCAGTGAGAAGCCCCAGAAAGGGGTTAATATCCCAGGACCCTCAAGTGTGAGGCATCCTTCCATTTGGGAAATTAACTACGAATTGAGGTTCTCTTCCTGCATTTATTTTCCAGACCAAGAAGTTACAGGAAGAGACATAGGTGGGGTTTTGCTAAGTACAGTTTAACAAGTTTTTACAATAGAAGCTGGTAACATTCAGTAAAAACAAGTCAGATGACATTCTGTTAGGCAATTAAGTGATCCACTAACAAAAGCTTGATTTAGCAAACATTCTTTTTCCCTCCAGCAGCTTTTTAGTAACTTTACATATGAATTAGCAACTTGTCTGTCTTTGAGCCAGCAATCTTGCTGTGTTGCAAATCTTAATCTTACACCAGAGACTTTATAGCCTGAGGAAAATTTCATGTCCTTTGCAAGGTCAATACTTGAAACTGCAAGGCTTTGGAAAACCAGGCCCTATGAGGTACATTTGCTTTATGAATCCTCTACAATCTTGAAGCTCTCCAAACCCAGTTCTTTTGAGTTTTTATGGAAGCTTCATTATGTAGGCATGATTGATTAAATCATTGGCCATTGGTAATCAACTTAATCTTCAGCCCATTTCCCCTCCTGGGAAGTTGGAGGGTGAGACTGAAAGTTCCAATCCACTAATTCTGCCTGGGTCTTTCTGTTGACCAGCCCCCATCTTGAAGCTACCTAGGAATTGCCAGCCATCAGTCAACTCATTAGTATACATAAAAAACTTATCACTTTGGAGATTCCAAAGATTTTAGGAGTTGTATGCCAGGAGACAGGGAAGAAGACCAAATATATATTTCATGATATCACAGGAGGTAATTAGGTCATGAGAATGGAGCTTTCATAAATGAGATTAGTGCCCTTATAAGAACAGGCCAGAGAGCTGAAGAAGTCAGCATTCTGCAACCTCAAAGAAGGCCCTCACCAGAACATAACCATGCTGGCACCCTGATCATGGACTTCTAGCCTCCAGAACTAAATAAATATTTGTTGCTTAAAAGCCACCCAGTCTATGGTAATTTGTTATAGCAGCCTGAACTGAGGCATATGGCA